ACTTGTGTTTAGAAWTTTGACCATGAAAGACCCTAGGGAGTTGAATTTAAGTATTATTTATACTAGTTTTGCAAAATATTTTAATTGTTCCATATTATAAATTTATTATCTATCCRTTTTTTCCACTGCTCCTTTCTTTTTCCTTCTGGCTCATTTGGCAACATTTATTCTAAGAAATTGCCTGGAAGCCTGAACTCATTTCAGCAGAGTGTTACAGTACATAGCATTGCAATGTCTCCAGCTTACCTACTTCTCATTAGCACAGTCCAATTAAAAATACAGTGAATGCACCTAAATAAAAATGCTGCTTTCTTCTGGTGAGGCTTGCATGAGGCTTTAGGCTTGCAGATGGGTGTCTTGGATCATTCATCTCTTTTATCTCCGTTTWAGAGATGGTATAAAAGTCCTTCGATTAATGTCTCTGTGCCTTCACCCCTTTTTAAAATGCAGAGCTCTGCAATCTGCAAGAAAATAATGGTTTTCTTCATTTTGAAAAGTTTCTTTTCTTTGGGCATTGATTTGATACAGAACTAATTGCTGGCATTCCTGATGATTTAGTGCTTTTTTTTGTTACACACAAGATTTTTTCTTGAACTCCCCTGCTTTAAGCGTTCCCATAGGGTCACACTATTCCAGACTCCAGCAGCCAAGGCTCTGTCTCCAAAGGCTGGCTCGCAACTCCACGTTGAACTATTCAGTTAAGAAGTTGGTGCACATTAGGGACTGGGAATAAAACTGTGATTCAGCTGCTRCTCCAGTCCACTGTGGCAAGGCAGAATGATTATGAGCTGGGCAATGTGTGTAACTTTAGATTTGTCCCATTGTAATTGCAACAGCTGCAAACAGATTTGTGTGCAACCCTTGTCTTCAAAGAAGGCTTTAAAGAATCTGAGTCTGGCACACAATCTAGTTAATCTACCATCATAACTAATGATTTTACCATTCAGACATAACGTATCGACCTTAAAGGATTTTTCCTACATAGCTGATGGCTTGATACCTTTTAAACACTAATGCCGAGGGTATAATCTCTCTGAATAGTGTAATAGCTTTATATTTAAGGTAGATTGGGGATAAAATTTTGTGTTTTCWTGTGAGCTATGAATACCGCTAAGGTATTCAGGCAGGAATTACCTTATCGTACCTTTGAGGGCACTTATCAAATAATTTTTATTGGAAAGTTAATACGTTGAGACAGAGTGAGCAGAAAGCTGCTCAGGATGCTGAGGCGTAGCCAGCGTCGCTTTGCTTTTGCCATCCACAGATCTGTGCCCGGGCTGATTCATTTAGCACATCATCGAAAATCATGTAGCGTTCAGCACGGCTCACAATTATCTGAAATCGTGTGTGAGAGATTTCTGCAGGTTGGCYGTGAAGGATCCTCTCCCCTTTGCAGCAGCAGCAGCTCTGCAGGGCCCGGCACAGCCCCGCAGGCTGTGGGGTCACGCTCAGCAGACCCCGGCGCTGCACCGGAGCTGCTCGGGATTTCATTTCACGCTTGTGTATCTGAGTGTGCAATCACTCCCCTTCTCTTTTCATCCTCTATCTGCAAGCCTCAGACCATGTATTGAGTTCATTTCTCCTCTGCCATCAGYGCTGGCACGATGGATCAAAGAAGCTTTGCAGGGCAAGGACTTCTACTGTGCCTTCTCTTCCTCTATGCCTCCTGCTCTGTGTGCCTCCATTCCACCCCTCCAATTTGGCTGTTCCCTGTTGAACTGTCCTGGACCATGTTCCTGACCCTCCTATTGTCCCGATTTCCACTTCCCAAGTTCTGCAGGGTTCCCACAAGAGAGGAGCCTCCCCCGTTTGCTCCCTGTCAGACCAGCCCRTCTGATTGCTGGCTTTTCTCCAGCATCCACCTCTGCAGGAGTGGAGAGGAAACCACTTGGCTGCTCCCTGTTCTGGAGCTGTTAACTCTCTCCCAGAAAAAAAGACCTTCAGAATCCTGTAGTGATTGGTGCTAATAACACTTAAATATTTTCTCCAAAACTTAAACTTTCATCGGTGTTGTCAGGTTGTTTTGGTCAGAAGGTGCATCCCCACCTCGCCCCAACAAAATGTGGAAAAAGTAATGATTCTACCTGAAACATTAGATGGTTTTGATGTATGAAGCAGTTCCTTTTTTTTTGAAATAACTTGGGTGCTTTGGCTCTTCCAGACTTCTCTCTGGAAAGCTGTATGCTGTACTCTGTTCCTTGCACCTCTTGAGGGTGAGAGAGTCCACTGACCCCAGTTAACACCAAAGAACAAAAGCACTGTGAGATTGACTGTGTGCTTTTCTGATGACTTTACCGGTGTGAGATATTGCCAACAATAGTTTGTTCCCACAGTGTTTTCTTGGCGTGTTTTTGTGGCCTGATGAAGAAATGCCTGGCTGTGCTGTGAACGGGCTGAGGAAGGGAGCCAGCTGAGGGAGGTTTGTGTCACAATTTTTGTAGGAGCCAGACCATTCCCTTTCCAGTTCACAGCACAGCCACAGCTCTTTGCCCATCATCCTTTCCCCAGAATTTCTGCAGCTACCCAATAAATGTGTATCTTCCCTAAATTGCTGGTGACTGCTGAATTACTGCATGTTTGTAAGGGGATTATTGACAGTAATGTTGGGCTGTCTAGCAGCGATTCAGGACTTTATTTTGAACAGGATGTTCTGATTCGTTTCTTTTGCAGTCCTACAGAATCTATATAGCAACCAGCATATCCCTTCCCATAGTTCTCTTGCAAAGTACTTGAGCTCCCTCCTGGTTCGTAACATCCTTTGTGGTGGAAATAAATTTGTGTACGGCATGTGCCTTCACCTTTTATAAATATAGATAAGTGCACAAATCTATTAAAAGTATCTTTGCAGAAAACTAAAACTGCATATTTTCATAAGAATGTCAGGTTTATAATTGCATAAATAAGATGCTGACTGAAGCAAATGTTCAATTTCACATTAAAGTTAGGCATTCATAAAGGCTTGGATTTGCATAATTTAATTTTCTGCACAGAGGACACTGAAAATCAGTGGTGTGATTCATGGCCACACCATGGTTACCATGAGGCTTTTTGATGGTTCCAGCTACAAGTGCAAAGGTGTTTACAGCCTGAGATGCTTTGCACTGGCTCAGAGCCCCTGTACCTTCAACAAATTTGGATTATTCCCACACGGTGCCTTTCTCTAGATGGAAAGGGACAAGGGAGGGCTCACTGAGCAGATACGTGCAGGAGCACCTCGTTCTTTGCAGGAGGCAGTGTCCAATCTTCCTCCTGCCTGAAGGGTTCAAACATTTTCAGCAACAAAAATCCCACAATCATTTGCCTTCTCTGCAGAGGATGCTCAGGAGAAAGCTGCTGTCTTTCATTTTGTAGCAAAGAGAGGCTTTAGGTGTATTTCTCAGCATATGTGATTTTTAAGTGAGTAATTGAGCCATTTTTTTTTTCTGATAACCTTTACTGCTCAGGCTATTTCATTGTTCTCTTCCTCAGGATTTTCATGGTCTCTTATCTTTGTTCAGTTTTGGGTTTTTTTTGCCAAGAATGTTTGGGTCTCCACATCCCACACTTGTTCTTTCCTGTTGAAGTGAAGTGCCTGTTGCCTTCCAACCACGTAGATGTTTATAAAAGTAAATAAAAAGAAAAAAATGATTGAGATGTTTAATTTAGTATTTTTAAAGAGGAAAACATGGTATGTGAGGTCATGTTGCCTACAAGCCCTGGTTGCATGATGTGTTGCAGTGTTTCTAGTTCACAGCCTGGAGTGAATTAACATTTAGAAAGTTGCCAAGGAGTCTGGAAAACTCATTCAAATGGCACAATCAGTACCTTTGCTCACACAAGAGAAAATTTGGCAGGGCCAAACCCGGTACTGCCTTTCCTGAAATTGCACAACTTTTCCTACCTCTTCAGGGTTCCAAAATGTGCAGAAATCCACGTTTCAGAGGGGAGGTTGTCCACAGGGCTGTGGGCTCTCAGGAATAACCTCGGGCACAGGAGGTGGTGTGAGGGCTGTGCCTCCTGGAAGCTTTTCCAGAGGAAAAAAAAAAAAAAGCAAATTCTGAGCTACTGGTGCATGATGTTCAATAAAGTCCTGGTACAGGCTTCATTCCAGCCCAGCTGGAATTGGCCTGGGAATAGCAGGGAATGCAGCACTTGGTGGCTGCATATGGGTAGCAGTGCTTTATGTGGTTTTCTGAAGTTCTAATTTGAATTATTCAGCCAATTCCTTGCTGATCAAATGAGTGGTTTGGGAGAAGTCAAGCTTCAATTTCCATAAAGTCATTTGGTGCATATTTGTTCCTCACATTCCATGTCTGTGGACCTAAGGTGGTTTTTGTTTGTGTGTATTTATTATAGCACAAAAGTTTTTGGTGCTCTGAGAAATGTAGTTGAATTTATTATGGACTTTCTACTGCCATTTGTGACTTTAGACACCTCTGGTTTGGTTCAGTCAGATGCATAGAAACAATAAAGCAAAATTTGCACATGAAAAGCCCAAATACCCCCATGTCCTCATGGAAGCAATTCACTCCTTTACAAAAGAAAAACTAGAAATTATTGGAGGTATAAAAGAAAAATCCCATGACGGAATGTAGGATGTGGGTTTTTTTTTCTGGTTTAGTTGAATAGTTTTTTTTCTGGTTTAGTTGAGTACCTTCTAGCTTGTGGAGTTTTACAGAGATTTTGACATAGTTCGGTAGTCACTGGCAAAGTAAACTTATTTTATGTGTCTAAACAGAGAGAGTTTGGTCATTTGTCAAGGCTCATGTTGTTGGTTTGTGCCCATCAGAATTTCCTTATGGAAATCACTGGAGTTGCACAAGCACCCAGACTGGAATGATGGCACGGGGAGTCCTGGCTTCTCCTTTGGATGGGGGAGGTTTCAAGAACAAGCCTGTTAAACCTTTTTTTAAGCAATGTTGGATTTGTAGTCTCTGCTCAGCAAAGATTTAAGCCTCACTGTGTAAACTCCAGGGAGCCAAGAGCACTTTCTTAACGATTTCTGCTTCTTTTCTCTGCAGCTCTGACCGAAGGTTACGTGGGCTCTCTGCACGAGAACAGACATGGGAGTTCTGTGCAGATCCGGAGGAGAAAGGCTTCAGGGGATCCCTACTGGGCCTACTCGGGTGAGTGACTTGCCTTCTTCAGAGCACTAAAACATGAAATGAGTCCAGAATCAAATTGTTTGTTTGCTTTTTATTACTATTGTGCTCGGTTTAAATTAATTTTACTGTGTATTTTCTTCTGCTGCTTTCCTTGCAAACTGCCCCTGTACACATCACCTCCTTTCTTGCACTGCCCTTTATCTGCAGGGTTTGCCAAATTATTCTGCTTCTTCTCTCAGTCTTACTTTGCTTTCTTGGCATACCCTGGGTCAGGCATACTCCCAAACTTCTCTTTGCTCTTCTTGACCAGATCAGTACATTCCCAAGCTCACCATTCGCTTACCACTTTGGGTCTTCCAGGAAGATTGTAAGCATCCATATAAATATCCAGATTAAAAAAAACCATAATCCTAGAAGTTTTACAGTTATTTGTTTCTGTGCATGCGTTTTTGTGGTAGTTATAATGACAACAATGAGATTTGTCAGTGCATCAAGCCAGGATGTGTGGTGCTGGAAAGGTAGGATACTGGAAGGGTATTTTATTGTTTGTCTCACTACTTTTGTAAAAACTTATGGCAGACCTCATGTATCTGCACAATTTTGAAATACCCAAATAAAAATATACTTTTGAATGATGTCTTTGATTTGCTGGTTGTTGTGTTCCAGAAAATTCCATGTTTGTATTTGAAATTGTTAAAAACCTGTTCAGCTTGGAATGGTGTTAATAACTATCTTGACTCTGTGGAAGATATCTAATGTCAAAAAAAGTTTTTATGAAGATTTCAAGCACTATATTGACCTTGTGAGAGGTTTTCTGGAAGATCTGAGATATGTTTCAGATATTGGTTTCTTATCCAAGGGGGTTGTGCAGGACTAGGTTTGGCTGAAGGAGAAACATTACTTTCTAAGAGGTCTGAATGCTGATACCAGATAAATATGCAAAAGTTACTTTTCAACTGCAAATGTCCCTCTTTTATCCAGATCATTTATTTCATTTGGAATGAATGATTATAGGTAAGGATAGAGGCTTTTTTTTTTCCATCAACATACACAAGTTATCTCTAATAGATCTCAAAATACAAGCTATCTATCTCATTTGCAAATGGGGTCAGGCAAATAAAATAAATCTAAACATTTTAGTAATGTAGCACAAAAGACCACTTTTGATTTTCAGCCAGCTCAGCCTCTCTTATCTGATGCCTTTTGTCCATATTTGTTCACTGAGGGGACCAGAGGTAATGAAAACGCTGAGCTTCTATGTTTAGGTTGAAAGTGGGAATAAATGGTGGGTGGCAGAGCCCAGATGCCAGACAGATGTTTGTTTCTAGCTGAGCACAGTGAGGAGGATGATCATGTTCTCTGTTTTTCTCCTTGCTTCCTCATTCCCCAGAATATTTCCCAGGAACCCTGCGCAGGGCTTGGCTAAGCAGTTTGTGTACTAACGTTGGTCCTGTGGGTAGGGTTTTGGACATGACTGGGAAGTTTACATCAAATGAGCCTACAGAGAGGGGAAACTTCACTCTGCAGTAAGCAATTAGCCTGTGTCAGTGGTTTCCAAGCTCTTCTACAGACATTATCTGGTAGGCTGCTTCCCTTCCCTATCCTCAGATGGTCAGGCCAGCTCCCCTCCAGTTATTTGTACAACAGCTGCTGGCCCAGCCCCAGCAATTATGGGCAGGGAAGGAGGCTCTGCTGGGCTGAGGGCTGGTGAGTCTGGAGTTTCTTCTAAAGGAATTTGCCAACGGGAGTAAACAAGAGCAGGACAGCTCCTGATCCCAGCAGTGGACAGTCTCTGCTGAGCCCCAGCACTGACCACAGCTTTATATTGATTTCAGTTGAGCAGAGCTGATTTACAGCAGCAGAGGCTTCTTTCTGTTCATGGCTGTGCCTGCCTGCTTGCAGAGATTTTGTATTTTTGGGCTTAAGAGTTCTAAAGTTCTTAAGAGTAATAAATCCCAAGGTGGGGCGGAGAGGTCCAAAAGCAGGCAGCTGGTTGTGGTTTTCCTGCTTGGGGGTGGAAAAAGGGCTCAGCCTGGTGCAGAGAGCCCTCAGATATCCATCTTCCACAGGATGTGTCTGTCCTGTTCTGGGCTTTTCAATTCATTCCTCAGTATCCTGTGGGAAACCCTGCTGCTGCTCTGAGCTCTTGCAGAGTGTGAATGGTCCAGGAGCTGATTTAAACCCCAGAGATGAGGAATTTTCCTCGTTTCGTGAGTGATCTATGGCAGTACCCTGTGCTGCCTGGTCATATTGATCCTCTCAGGCACGAGAGTTTGGAGAGGACAGACTTCAGTCATTGATCAGGTGCTGAATAACCCTCGGACCTGTAACATTTGTATAAAGCACCCACATTCCTAAAGGTCCTTGTGACAGGACCCTGTGAACTCCACTCTGTGCTCAAACTGCCTGTTCCCTGCACAAAGCTGCACCACATCTCTTTCCCTGGCTGGAAAGAAAAGGATTTTTAAGCCTGGTAAAGTAACCCTGTTGTCTACAGACACAATTCTGACTGTAACACTTACTCTAGTTCAGAAATACAACTTGCAAAAATAAAGACTCGATAATTAAATGAAGAAGGCCCATTTTGGATGGGTTCTGTCAAAAAGACAGCAGGAAACACAGTCAGCCCTTTAGAAGAAACTTCGTTAAGTCTATGCTAGCAGCTCTTTAAACCAAAATCAGAAGTGAGCAAACACTGAAAACAGAAGATTAACTTGTCTTTAAATAGGAACTGCAAGGCTGAACAGAGACTGAGATCTCCTAGATGTTCTTTTTAGGATTTTTAGAAAGCTCAGACGACATTTCTAGGGGGAATTCTCTGCGCGTGTATGTTTTGGCAAAGTCTTTATTCCATGATTGTGTCTTGCAGTTTGCCAAAGACTTCCTAAACTGGGACTGGCCACATTACTTGCAGTGCAGCAGAAATGTGGAATAAGCTCAGCACAGTCACAAGAAGTAGGTGTGGGATCCTGAATGTGTTTCACTGCAGTCTTTGCTTTTCCAAGCCATCTTTTCTGAATGGACAGGTTTGAAATGATTTTTAGCACATCCTTGTAATTGCCACAGAACTCAATATGTTCCTAGAACCTGTCATAGTGACAGATAGTAGCAGCTCAGGTGCCTTTTCATTAGTGTGGAAATATTTTTGTAAATATGTGAACTGTTTTTTAAACAATACTGGAACAAAAGCCAACAGAAATATGCAATTTGAAATCTACTGGATCCAGAGCTTTCTGACTGGCCCTCCCTTGTGTAATGTGTGCTTCTTACCAGAGCATAACATTCCAAACATTTAAAGATGCTTTTCAGTGTCAAGTGTTGTGTCTGTCAGTGCTCAGAACACTTTGCTGATGATCTGAGCAGAATTTGCCTTGCAGAAGCCCCAAAAATGAGTAGAGGGACAGGGCTTTAGGAGGAGATTACAGGTGAGATGCTGATGCAGRTGCTTGTACGTTAAGTGATGGTGGCTCTGAAGGATCTGTACCTACTCATACCTTTTCTTCTGAGAAGCTGCTGTGTAAAATTAATGTGGTGATCATTGCATGAGATTGTGGCAAGCCAGAAGTAGCAAGGGGTTTACCCAAATCAGGAGTAGTAAGGGGCTTACCCAAATCAGGAAACTCCTTTTTGAGTGTTCAGGTAGAAGATGTGGTGCCTGATCATTGCCAGTGTTAATTTGTGTGATCAGCAGGTATGGAACGTGTCGTGCACTGTTCTGGGGCAGGATGCTGTAGGCAGTGGTGCTTTTGCCAGTGGAGTTTCCCAGCTGAGCTGGGGTGCCCTCCTCCCTTGATGGCAGTTCTGCCATCARCTTCAGTGTTGTGAGCTGACTCATTCAAGAAATACTCTTTAAGTAATCAAAAACATTTGGGCTTCTCAGAGAACAAAAAGCAGATGTTGGCCAAGATGTCGATATCTTCTTTTTAGATGTTTATCTAACTATGGCTTTGTAAAGAGAATTCTATGTAAAAAACTCATGCAGTTGTTTTTTCCCTTTAATCTTATGGTGCAGTCAAGGCATCTCTTTCTCTTTGTACCTTTAGTCTCTCATATTATATGTGAAATTATTAGCACTGCTTCTGTTCTTTGTGCATGTCCTTACTCATGTTTTTTTCTGTCTAAAATGTTGAATCCTTTCTCTTTGAGATTCCGTGCAACTGCCATGAGCATTAGGAGAAGTTAATAGAAGAAAAATAGGCTTTACAAGAGTAGAGATGACCCTGTGAGTGGGGAAAAGTGTCCATTAAGAACAGGAACTTTGGCCATGCTGTCAAGCTAGTGGACACTATCAGGGTGTGAATTCTTTGTGCTACAACACTCAGGCAGTTATTGCTGTCTTTTAAGATGCTATTATTTAAAATATAACCGGTGGTGAGTGTAAGAATTGAATGTTCTTCTCAAAAGAAATTGCTGGCATTAAAACAGGAATGATGGGTAATGGTTATTTCCTGAAAGAACAGCAAATGGTGTTAACTGTGATGGAATGTAACTCGGTGATATCCTTTGTAAATGTGTGAATTTCTCTCTTTGCTTAGATTGTTCTCATTAAATAAGCTGCTAATGTGAATTGGACAGGAAATAATCAGCACAAAGTAAGGAAAGCATCAAGACTTATTGAACTGAGAGGTAACTAATGGGCTATTTGCCGTGGTCAGTATTTCACTCTTTCGGTCCCTCAGAATAATAAATCTTGTTATTGACCAAAACTCTGGCACACCGTGTGCTCAGTTATCATTGCCCTGTAAAAGTACTCATCTCCCTTAAATGCAGAATGGCCAAATGAGCAGGTTCTGGCTCTCTTGCTTTCTCACTGACTTCCTGAAGAGGAGCTAAGCTGAGAGAAGTAGGAAAAACATTCCCATTAATATCTGATCCGATCAGTAAACTGAGCTTTGAATATTTTAATCTGCATTCATCAGAGATGAATGGTAATCTTCAGTGAACCCTGCTGGAGCCAGCTGCGAGGCGTTCGTTTCCATATGCAATCTTATTAGAGGAACAGTTGTTCCAGAAATCAATGC